GTTAGTTCGAATTAAGTTCGAACTAACGGAGCGCTAGTGTAGCGCCTAGGAAAGTTAGTTCGAACTAACTTTGTAGTGTAGACATACCCTGAGATACAGGACCGATGGGAAACTGTTTAACCTGCGAAGACTCCAGGCTGTCACCAAGATAAAGGAGACTGTGTTACGAGATCTCCTTTTTGCTGATGACTGCGCCCTGAATGCTGGATCAGAGCAGGAAATGCAAGCCAGCATGGACAAATTTGCAGCAGCATGCGACAACTTCGGCCTTCTCATCAACACAAAGAAAACCGAAGTGATGCACCAGCCAGCTCCAAAAGCTCAGCATCAAGTGCCCACCATCACAGTGAAGGGACAAAAGCTGCAAGCAGTGGACCAATTTACATATCTTGGCAGCACCCTCTCCCGCTCAGTGACAGTTGACATCGAGGTCAACTGCAGAGTCGCCAAGGCACATTCTGCATTCGGCAGACTGCTGACCAAAGTGTGGGACCGCCGTGGAATAAGCCTTGCTACAAAGCTTAAAGTCTATCGAGCAGTAGTGTTAACTACCCTGATGTACGCCAGTGAGACTTGGACTGTATACAGGAGGCACACTAGGCAACTGAACCACTTCCACACGATTTGCCTCCGCAGACTTCTGAGGATCCGGTGGCAGGATAAGGTGCCAGACACAGAAGTCCTTTCTAGAGCAGGTCTGCCGTCAGTTTACACCCTGCTGATGAAAGCTCAGACACGCTGGGCAGGCCATGTTGCAAGGATGCCAGATCATCGCATCCCTAAACAGCTCTTCTATGGTGAGCTGTTTCAAGGGAAGCGATCGCACGGGGGACAAAAGAAGCGATACAAAGATACGCTTAAAGCCTCTCTCAAGTCCCTGGATATTGACACCACCTCCTGGGAGACCCTGGCACAAGACCGATCAACATGGCACACGCTGATCTACCAAGGCTGTCAAACATCTGAAGCCAGAAGGACAACCATAGCACAAGAGAAGCGAGCACTCCGTAAAGCCAGAGTTGCAAAAGCTGCAACAGTGGTGCCCACACATGTCTGCCCGACCTGTGGTAGAACATTCCGTGCCCGTATCGGCCTTATCAGCCATTTGCGGACACACCATGAACAGTCCATAACCAGTTAGATGTCAAGGTCCTCTTCGAATACGATGGACGAACAACAACAACAACAACAACAACAAGTAGTGAAAATGTTAGTAATGATGCTAGACAATATTGACCTCCAGTTGTTTAGCAAATTCTTTCACATGTCTGCCTGACATGTGGCAGAACATTCCGTGCCCGTATCGGCCTTATCAGCCATTTGCGGACACACCGTGGACAGTCCACAACCCATTAGATGTCAAGGTCCTCTTCGAATACGATGGACGAACAACAACAACAACCTTTCAAGCAGCGGTGGTGAGGGTTAGTGATATGATCTTATCCACCCTGTAATTGTCATGGTTCAGTATTGTCATTCTGGCTTGTGGAAATGGAGGACACTTGATAATTTTGCAGTTACTTCAAAAAAATGTAGTTGCAGAACATCTCCTTAGGGATGTAAATTCCCATTCATCAGTTAACTGATTAATGTTAGGTCACAATGGGGATGCTGCTAGCTCCCAGCCCCCTCCAGAGCAGACTTTGTCTATAGCAAGCTGGACTCCCCACGGAGAGAGGTTGCTCTGAACGCTGGTGCAGTCCATGCCTGTGGGGATCCTGAGTTCCCCAGAGACAGGGGCTGATCTGGATGAGCACAACCCCTGTCTGCAGCAGGCCCTCTGTGAGCCTGGAGCAGCCCCCTTCCGGAAGCAGGTGGGGAGCTGCTCCAGCACCCTCATTACCAGTTAATTGGAACCATTAGGCAACATCCATTAAGAGGATTATGGAAGTTGTCCCGTGAACTTGTGGGATAGTTATGGATGATTCCCAGGCTCTGAATCAAATGGGGCTGCATCTACACTGCAAAGTAATAGGTCTTAGATTCTGTATGGGTATGTCTAAACTACAAAGTTAATTCGAACTAACGGACGTTAGGCACTACACAAGTTCGATAGGTGCTACACAAGTGCTCCGTTATTTCGAACTTAATTCGAACTAGCGGAGCGCTTAGTTCGAACTAGGTAAACCTCATTCTACGAGGACTAAGCCTAGTTCGAACTTACTGGTTCGAATTAAGGGGTGTGTAGCCCCTTAATACGAACTAGTGGGAGGCTAGCCCTCCCCAGCTTTCCCTGGTGGCCACTCTGGCCAACACCAGGGAAACTCTATGCCCCCCTCCCGGCCCCGGACCCCTTAAAGGGGCACGGGCTGGCTACGGCGCCCGTGCCAGGTGCAAGCCTGCCAGCACCCAGCCAGCAGACCCTGCACCTGGCACAGCCCGAGCCAGCCACCTGATGCCCCCCAGCCCTCCCCCTCTTCCCGGGACCAGGCTGGCGGCTCCCGGGAGCTTGCCCTGGACCGCAAGAGGCGGGCACCTTCCCGGGCTAGTGCGGACATCGTGGACCTCGTCCACGATCTCCGCACTAGGCACAGGAAAGTGACCGGCTAGGGCAGGAGAGCTGCCAGCCTGGCCACCCAGGAGCAGGTGTGCATGAAAATCATGGGGGGCCACTGAGACCCCCGACCCTGAGCCCTGAGCTTACTATGGCCGTCCTGGGTCAGACCAAAGGTCCATCTAGCCCAGTAG